GTACTTGCATGGGAATGTTTTTATCCAATACTAACGCAAAATATAAAATTATTAAAATTATTTCTTCTACAAAAGTTTTACATGGTTTAACCCATATGGAAAAATAATGCCAGAGTTCTTAGCAAGCAGCTCTAGACATGAGGCTCATACTCTGTGTCTGCTCTTTCACATTGTGTGTAAAAGTCTAATTAATCCAATGATCCTAAAATTCACTGCAGAATTGCAAAGAATGTACCACACCCAGCATTAGTCCCTGGGTATGCTGTTGTTTCAAAGCCATTACCAAATCTAATAATAGGGCTGATGATATTATTGCAGAATTGAACTCCATTAGTTTGCATTTCAAAAGAACTCAGCTAAAGGTCTGATAAAAAATTTAAAATATCTAGAGAGCAGTTTAATGAGAATAGTCCAACTCTGTGGTTAAATAGAACAATGAAATGGATGGAGGACTAAAAGGTCAATTGTAAGGAGAAATTATTAGCTCCAGTGGCTGTTCTGTCTCCTGTAGTTTGTTCCCCAGATCAAATTAACATCTAGACTATATGTGACCTCTACTAAACTGCATTGTAAGCTAAAACCAAATTTTCTCCTAGAGGGGTTTGTCCCCTAATGATGATTTTGGACATTCCATGAGGCAATGCCAGCTGCCCTGATCAGTTCTCAGCAGATGGGGGAATGTTTCTCAGTATAGAAGAAGTGCTTATGGGAGATGATGCTTCAGAAACATCATTTTCTTCTCTGAGAAAATCCTAGCGTGGTTGAGCAGACATCATCCTGGTCCTATGCTCTGCACAACCACATACCCCAGGCCTCATTCAGTGGAGGAAGAAGAGCTTTTCTTTTCCAGGGATTGATGGAAAGGCCCTTGCTCTCCCCTTTTCCCCTACCTTTGATTCCTCTCCACTTATGCTAGCAGAGGAGAGATTTATGTCCCCTTTTCATCTGATTTTTGGCATAAATATGGAAATGGCCCTTCTTTTCATGTATGGTAGAAATGTCCACGTATTGTGAAAGTGTAGAAATCAGAAAGAGATTTAATATAGAGGATCCATGCCAAGTGGCTTTCAAATGGCTGGAGACAGCCACTGGAAAATTCCCTTTTCATGGCTGAACTCTCCACCCATGGAAAGGTGGCCTCCTGCCACCTCAACCCTGGCTTAAAGGGAGAGAGGGAGCATGTCTGGGACATGGGAGGGAGCATGGAGGAGCAGAGATCCATTACCCCTGATCTGGACCTTACATCAGTCATGGAAGTGAGGGTAGGATGTGCGCTTCTCTAGCTTCCACCAGGGTGACTGAAGTTCAGGGAGATGTAACTGGATCCCAGTGCTCTTCCCTATCACCATCATCTCCACTCTGTTTGAGTAGAGCTCACATGGATGGCCGCATTGAGCCTAGTATGTTTAATTGGGAAAAAAACTGATACCTGACCCAAAGTTTCTATTGTTATCAGCACTTATGAAAGTGGCTCCAAGGATCATGAGAGATTCAGTCCGCTCTAGCTGACTGGGCAGAGAGGAGGAAGCAGGTGGGGAGGATGATATCTCAATTAATCATTGTTTGATGGCAGGAAGACAAGTATCATTTGGCAAGACAGGTGCAAAATATTTTTGTCTTTTCGTCCCCATATTTGTTGGATTGACAGGAACTGAGTATGGGGAAAAGCCAACCCATGTTCTGTTTTATTCCAGCAATCACTAGCAGAACACATATCACAACTGACAGCCTTTACTGGAAGTTCCCTGTTCTTGTGAATGAAGAGCAAGTTGAAAATCCAAGTGAAACATGCACAATTTGAGTAGTTTCTGATTTCTCATTAGAAGCTAGTTTTCTCTATTGATCACTGTTTCTGCAATATATGACTTGGTTCAGTGAATATATTATGTTTTTTTTTCAAAAGTGTTGAATTTTTTTTGGAAATACAGTATATTTGGAAAATTTACCTTTGGACTTTTTCCTAGTCCCTTATGTATGTCTATATATAGGTGAAGAATAAAAATCTTCTGCATGTTTGGAAGCAGTGCCAGATTTAAGACAATCATTCTTTGCAGCATTTTGCAGATGTCCTGAGCTACCTGTTTTTCACTGGCATTCAAGCAGTTTCTAAGAGCAGTAGGAAAAATATACCAGTACTTTTCAGTCTGTGGAAGAGCAAACTGCCATCCCAATGAGAGTAGCATGGTAGGCCATTTTTTATTTCACAAGCAGAAAGAATTCACAGAGTAGCAGGATCTAACTCATAATTCACAAACAAGCAGAATGTGTTCAGCTAACTATCTTTAATGATGGCTGAATAGTCCAAATAAATAAAGTCTATGTACGATAGGGTGCATGTGACCGTGCCTCTGGCCAGTGGGGAACTGAACCCAGGCCATGAATGTGATATTCTATTGCTTGAACCAAAGGTCTAGGTCTAGGGGTCAGCAGTGGAGAAGATTCAGAAACATTATTATATGATCCAGTAGAGAGAAGGGAAAAAGACACCTTCAGCCAGTGTGTTACTTGCAGACATAATTCATATATCTATGTAGATTGTCTGTTTGTCCTCTTGCAATTACATGTCACAAAGTAGAATATCATTATTTGTCCTCTCTTAGACCAGCACCTGACTCTGGTACCATGCATATACCAACTGTGTATCACCCTGCTGTTCCAAACTCAGTTTCAGGCACTCGTGTTTCCTTGTTTTGGAAGCTGGTGGCACTGATATTTGCCAACAGCCTTTTAAAATCAAATGTAGCATGTCACAGTTATAGGGGTAGCTGTACCTCTGTCCCCTTTCTGGTCTCTCTGAGCATACCCTGTCAGGCTTTCTGTCTTTCTCTCTCCTAGAATGGAATTCCATGGTTCTCCCACTGTTAGACTAGGCCCTGGGATACAGTATCTAGTGTATTGACAATTCTTACCTGGCAGGTTTGATTGGGTTTGGGCACCTGTGGTTCTTCCCTTCTGGACTATATGACTAGTGGTGTATATAGTGACCAAGCAGTCTTCTTAAAATGAAATGATTGCTTATTTTAGCAGTAGGACAAAGGTTTTAGAGGAAAAAAGGCTTTAAAATAATCTGTACAACATGTCTATTTTACCTAATGTACTATCATCGCATAATGGTGGCAACCTAGGGAGGCTTATTACCTTCAGATACCGGTGGGTACCTGAGTGTGTCTTCTAATCTGGTTCTCTCTGACACCCTTTTTAAGAGAGCTTGTGTCCTTGTATCAACCACCCCCGGCCTTTTGCTCTCTTGGGTTCTTTACCAAATGGGTCATGCTTCCCCCACCGTTCAAACAGGTTTGGTGGCTGCCCAGGAGACTAAGTGCTGTAGTGTAGGTGTAGCCTGAGTGTTGTGCATGATTGACAAAATGTGGAAAAGACTAAGCCATGTGTGTGTCAGTTCTATCCATTTTCTTTGTAAATTTTCACTGATGTTCCTTTCTATTCAACGCACCTCATTTTGGATGATTAACTTCTTACTTATCGGTGGTACGGACTCAGTACAGTTACTGAACTAAATGAAAACAGTTTGACATTTTGTAGCATAAGGTGATCAGAAGTCCCATTTTTAAAGCGACAGTCCCATATTTAAGCCTTCCTGCAGATGTCCCGACTTTTTCTTAAAAACTGGCAAATTGCCCAGTTTTTTCTGTTTCAGTAGTGGTGGGTCCTGCTGCTGGCTGGATCCCTGCTCACCAGCCACCCTCCCCCCCCCCCCCAGTGGCCAACAATAGGGGTGAGTGTGCAAGGCTGGTGGCGGGGCAAAGCTGCAGCGCACAGGGCCAGCTGCTTCCCCTGCTGGTCCATCAGAGCTGGGAGTCGTACCGGGAACTTTCGACTCTTGGTCCAGTCCGACAATCACAAAATCATCCTTAATCTATAACATTTCTGAAGAGTGACTTTTATAATTCTTTTAATTTTACATACATGTTAACAGCTCAAGTTAAAATCTCTTTGTTGAGGTATTCCCGAACAAAGATTTCTGAAGCGAGGTTTTATGTATAATGTATTACTTTGTGTTTATTATCCCAGAATGCTTCCTTAGCTCACTCTTCACAGACGCACAGGGATTCAGGTTCGAGAAAACCAAGGAATGATTGTGAAATACTTGAGTGCACACTGAAGTCTTTTTTCAAAGCATTGGCAGTTAGAATTTTGGGATGCTTTTCTAAGTTTGGATTTCACTGTATACTGTAAAAACAACAAGGAGTCTTGTGGCACCTTAAAGACTAAAAAATTTATTAGAGCATAAGCTTTTGTGGGCTATGACCCACTTCTTCAGATGTATGGAGTGTCATAGCCCATGAAAGCTTGTGCTCTAATAAATTTGCTAGTCTTTAAGGTGCCACAAGACTCCTCGTTGCTTTTGCTGAAACAGACTAACACGGCTACCCCTCTGAAACTGTATACTGTGCACTTTATAATATCTCAACTGTTGCACTGCACTTATGAGCTAAAGATAGTAAAACTCTTCATTCTTATACCTGGGGAGACTTATTCTGATCACAATTACGTTGTTGTAAACCAAGAGTTACTCCAAGGACTCTGATGGAATTATTCTAATTTACACTGGTGTAACTATGATGAGATGCTGTGCTCTAGCCTAATCCGTTGCTAGAGTATTAAGCAGGAGGATTTCTGAGGCAAACAGAAGGCTTGGTGGGCTCCTTTAAGTGGCAAGATGAGAACATTATTCTAGCTCCACGTTCCTATTTACAGTGCTCAGCCCTGTTTTTACTGTCCCTCTGTTTTTTCTTTAAATTTCCCAGTTATAAATCTTCTGATGTATTTTTTAAACATGACACTTTCAGAGCTGAGAGCTAATGTTGAATATGAGAGCTACAAGTATCATTAGCTGCCTGCCTAAACAATGCTCTTCTTTAATCTTAAAATTACTACAGATAGCAGAAGGAATTTGCATTAGTTATTAAGATGGCTTGTTTTTTGGCAGACCTGAAAACTGTGTTTTAGAGCAGCTGCTCAAGTGAACCTTTATTTTTCAGATCTGGATGGAGTGTTTCTTCATCTGCATGATGCTGTCTAGGACTACAGCTCTGTGACACTCCTCAGCTGTGCTAGCAGAAGAGGCAGAGAGGCTTCCAAGAAGCTCTGAAAAGGAGAAAAGTCTGGAGCTTCTAATTAGGTGAGTGTACAAGAGGTGATTAGCAGCAATGGATTGCTATAATTCACTTGCTTCTTTACAGCAAGGAAGATACAATATAATAAGCTATCTGACCTAATATTAATAAATAGTTATACAACATATGCCTCTTTGGGCAGTTATAAGACAGAGCAAGCTATTCACCCAACATTGCACTTCATCAAGTATTTTGATTATATTATTGAACAGAATGTATACAGAGACATCAGGAGTGGACATTTCATAGATCACTTACGTTTCATCAGAAAGAGCAGTTTGTGATCAGAGCTTTTTCATAACTTTGTTAAATATGGAGCGGATCTCAATTATGACTAACGAGCTACAGAAGTGTGTATATCTGTTTAGTTTGGCAAAGCTAGCTCTCCTCCTCACGACGATCCTATATGTTCCACTATTTCAAAATGATATAGTATAATGTGACACAGGACAAAGAACTTTGACTAATATATAGGGTGCGCTGTATTGAGTGATTTCTGATTTTTCTATCCTGGCACAATTTACAGGGAAACTAGACTTTGTTTTTCTTCAGCTTGGTCCCTAAAAAAAAGCAAAGTGGCAAAAAAACAATGGTTTGCTTCTTCCAGAGGAAAAAAACAAAGGGTGATATACCTGGCCACACTGAAGTCAGTAGCAAAACTCCTATTGACTTACGTGCGGCCAAGATTTCACCCACTATCTGTAACTTAAAGTGTGTCCAGTCAACAAATATTTCTTCAGTTTCCTAGTTCTTGAGGCTATCTGTGCAAAATCTCCCTCTTCCACTCATGACCTTTCCCTAAGCTTTCCACTGCCTCCACTTTATTTCTCTGTTTTAATTATCTCTTTGTTAACCTCTTCAGTACTTATTTCAGTGTGTGGCATATGTACATCACATCATAAACAGTTTTTTAAAATATATTTTTGTAATTGCTTCACCACCAAACAACCCACCACCAAACAAAAGACCCACACATATATGGAGTTTATAAGGAGAGTTTATAACAAAAGTTGCTACAGTGAAAAAAAAATCCACAGATGAGATGTGGCCCATGAGATTTCAGGGTGATTAGTTTCTTTTGGGGAAGAAGGGAGTTTGGAAATAAGGTGGAAACTAATGTCTCTCTATAAACCTGAATTATGAGGCGGTACCTCAACTCCCAAATAAAATTCTTCCATTCCCAAATACTTATATTTGTGGTAGGTCACTGACTCTGGGTTCTAATCCAGATTTTGACAATGACTAGCTGTGTGAATTTGGTTAAGCGTTGAAATTCTCAGTTTACTCATCAGCAAAATTTGCATAATATCAGTATTCTGCTCGCTCCCAACATTCTTGTGACACTTGATGTTTCTAAAATAGAACATTATTTATTAATATAAATATTAGTATTATTATAAGGCATCTGCACAGTTGTATTCAGTTAAATAAACTAAATGGTATAAACAAAATGACATTGTGATACATGAAGGCAAAATCATTGCATATCATAGGAATCAATTCAGTTGTTCACATAATAGTTTACCATGTTGTTCAGTCTAAAATATTCAGTCTTTACAACACCTTTTTTTCTAGATCAGCAATATTTTGTCCTTCCACACATCATAATGTCCGCTCCATTGACTTGTATTGATCTCATTTTGCCTTTCTTTAGATTATAATGTTGTTGCCTTAGACTTCCATTGACACAGCTTTGTCTTTTCCCACCAGCCTCCATTGATTAGCATTGATATTGTTTCCACCTAATTATGATGCTGTCTTAAGAACTTTGTGACAAAGCTTATTCTCAGCAGTGCGGCTATAAATATAAACAGTAGCTGCAACTCTGTATCTCAGCCATTTCCAAGGTGTTCCTCCATTTCTTTCAGGAAGAGGGGGCGAAAGTGTGTTTTAAAGTACTGTAATATTAACTTTGGTTCATCAGCTCTGCCAAATATGGGATGAGATATTGTAATCCAACTTCTCTGAAGATGACCCATCATCAACACACTCATGGCACAGAGCTTTATGTGAGCACATTGTGTTCTCCATTCACTTTGCCGCCTTACTCCATACTTGTATTGAAGCACTGTAGACAATAATTCTACAACTGGAATCCCCTGGAGAGCACACAAGTTGTATATTTCACTAAGCTGCCTACTCCCCAAAACACCTCAAACAGGCAGAGTGATGTTTCCCCGAGAGGCACTCTCACACTACCATCATTTGTACTCAGACCCCCATGGACAAAATAGAAGTTGATATGCTTAGTTTCTAGTGCTGCACTGAATGAGACGACTCGCTCTTGCTTCAGTTGTGCCCTATTGTTTTATTCATGCTGGAGAATACACATGTGCAGTCATGTTCTAGCTTCTGAATGTTTCCTTTTGACCAATAAGAAGGCAGGTTTTGAGTCTGAAATTCAAGAGCAAGGCCTGTGGCATCAAACTATAGCAAAAATGGACTTCCTGAAAAAGAGACGGACCTCACTGTGCAGGTGGAGACTGCTTCTCTAAACACATTTTAGCAACTTCTGCCATGGTATTTTGACAGCCTTGTGAGCAAACTTAATGCTATCTCAACACAATGGTGCATGAATGAAAGGTTCAAGCTAATCAGTTGAGGGGAATTAAGGGCTGGATTCACAAAATACTCAATGAGTAGTCGGTTGCTATAGTGATGGCTGCTTATTATACCAATCTGTACTTGGGCATAGTTTCACTGTTATCTTTTCCTACTCCCCTCCCCATGTATGCTGATTTGTATCCACTTGTTGTCTGATGTCATATGATAATATTGTAAACTCTTTAGGGAAAGGACTCGTTTTTATATTACATGTTTTATATTACATGCATTATGCCTATATCACAGGAAGTACTGAGCTTATAAGAGGATTTAAGGCCTCCGCTGCTCTTTCCTGTGCCTGGTTTCCTCTTAGAGCAGGGACCAAGATGAGCATATTCTTCCACAAGACCCACTAGGAAGGGAGAAGCAGGACCGAATACTATCTAGACCATCCCTGATAGACATTTATCTAACCTACTCTTGTGGAATCTCCATCTCTGGAGATATTTTTTGGAGACCGTATTTGGTCCTGCCATGAGGGCAGGGGACTGGACTCGATGACCTCTCGAGGTCCCTTCCAGTCCTAGAGTCTATGAATCTATGAAATAAAAAGCTCTGCCACCCCATATCCCTCCCCCTGTGCAGGGAGAGACCTCGGGATGAGCAGGAGTGGGTGGCTGCTGCTGGGGTTCTCCTGAAATTGGGAGTCTGGACCGAGACCAGTGGGGTGTCTCTGCTGAGAGGAAGCTGGGAAAGGCACCTGAAGATATCTGGGAAAGGGCTAAGGAGAAAGCCTAAGAGGAGACCAGCAATCACAGGAAGTGGCTGAAAAGTGAAGCAGGATGGTTTTGACTCTTGGATGGACAGTGGCTTTACGGTCTGGCATCCTTGGGCTGGAGGATGTAGATGTGGCATTGTGACACATGTGACACATGTAGATGTGGCATTGCATCCAGGAACAAAGGACTGTTGTGCTGCAAGGTGGCACAGATACTGGCGGGGTTCCAAGGCGGGTTTAAGGCTTTATGGAAAAGCCTTTTGGTTTTCAACTTTCCTTACCATGGAAAGGAAGGACATTTGATGTAACCAGATGCCCAAATCATCCAACTAGCTGGAGACAGAGAAAGTCTTCAGTGGGAAAACTGAAGCAGCAACTGTGATCAGTCCACAAGGGAAAGCTACTGTTCTACATCTTAGGACAACTGGCCTTGATCCTGATTGGAATCTCTAGGTGTTACCACAATAGAAATACCGTATTTTCCGGCGTATAAGACGACTGGGCGTATAAGACGACCCCCAACTTTTCAGTTAAAATATAGAGTTT